AAGGTTAGAATAAAGTTCATTAAAAGTGCTTTATTTTCTTGCACATACACATAAATAACTTCGTAACGGAATTAAAATTAATTTTTATTTGTACAATGTGCAAATGAAAAAAAAAAGTGTTTTATATAAAATGATAAAAAATTTTTAATCGCGCCTACAGATTTTACAGCACATATATAAAACGTTTTTGGATGAACTATTTAATCTTCTGGTTTTTCTGGTGGTGGACCACAAGGCTGCAACATTTTCTCCATAAGATTAAATCGAACACGTGCTTTTGCTTCGTTTTCCGCAATAGCAAAAAAATTTAACAGATCATAATGTCCCATGTAAGAACTACAGGAATCACGATGCTGATTTACAAGCCATTCAAATTTGGTAGTATCAGCGTGGCCTGTGCCAATGTATTTTGATTGCAAATGTTCCAACTGACTATGAATGTTATAACGTTCCCCCATGTTCTGTGTTAACTTTTTGATGATAAAAGTAAACGTGTAATAAAAACTTTACTGTTTTCTAATTTAAAATTTCTTTGCAAAGATTTAATACTGTTTTTTTTCGAGTTTTATGTCAATGCCAACCATAGAACATAAATGTACCTTAAATTTATAAATGTATACATTGCATCTTACGATAGAGAGCGTTCTTGGCGATTCGATGTATAATGCAGAATTTTCATGTAGTAGTGATAAGATAAACTATAAAAAAAATTATAAAATAATAGTGAAACATAAGAAATTAAAAATAGATACGAAATATTTAAAAATGTGAATAAAATAACTATTTCACATTTTTTACTCATAGTATACATATGTATATACGAGAATGTGTGTTTATATTATTATAAATATTTGTTACTACAATGTAGTTTTCTTATAGCAATTAAAGAATAATAAAAAATAATATTGAGTTAATAGTTATGCATGATATTCATATAAAGATATTTAAATAAAACTTTCAAACATAGCTTGAGAACATATGAAAACTTATTACGGTCTAGTTCGTTGTATTTATAATTTTTGTATTTGTTAAGAAACATTGAATGAAGGATATATTTATATTTATACATAAACGTAATAAATAAATTTAGTTCAACCAATTGCATCAAGTATAATAATATTCAAGATTATTCCGCAATTTCGTCTACTCCCTGCTTAGCCGCAAGGGTGCAGCACTTATCGCTTGTTACGTCAGACAATAATGACGTGCTAATGGTTAATGGCTTCTACTTACTTGAGCTACATTTATGAGAAAGCCAAATACAATCCAAAGAAAATTCATGAGATATGATGCATCGGCTAGTAAAATTATAAAAATATGATTGCCTGAACATTTAATTGTTACAATAGCTATTAATTTTTATCAAATTTCACTCGTGGCCTACGAAATGTGTTGAAACTGTTTACTGAACAACGAACGTAACCATTACATTCATCGCTACGTTGGACCAGCTCGATGCAAAGAAATCCAACATTCAGCGTGATATCACAAGATTTATATTGCACGTGAGTACTAATATTCGTCATTGACTTATAATCCCGTTATAAACGGTAACTGATTTTCTTTTACGAAAACTGGGCAACTCCCTTGCCACCCAGTCGTTAACAATGGCGGCTACGCTAGGTCGACCGAAAAATTCTTTTCTCTAAAATATTCTTTGAACCAACAAGTCATAGGGTTATGTTCAATAAATTTTTGTTTTTACCTAGAAAATAGCCCAGTTTATTAAAAATTGCCATTTTTCATTATATTTATCAAAGACTTGTGGTGTTCGAAAATACTGTTACGTCGACTAATCTATACATGAGCATGTTCGTGTGGCTTTCTACATACGCGCATTGTTATCTATATGTGTTATATTCATGATGATCTGTATCAAAGTATTGAAGAGAGCAGCAATAATATAATTGTTTGCAAACTGCTGCTCATATCAATTGATATTAAGGTAAGTTTTAAAAATGCTTGATTATTTATATATCAAAATTAAATTTATAATTCAACTGAATGAAATTAAAAATGTTATATTGCATTTTTATTCTATATTTTAGTATTATTTTTGTAAATAAAATCTAATATATACCACATGTTTTTATATACATAAATTTGTACATTTATTTTTGGGGAAAAGAATATCTGGAAAGACACATGAACATCTCAGATGCCCTCATTATGTTATAAGTGAATAATACAAATAAAACAACTTTAATTACTCTTACATATTAATATTTATGTATTTCAGTAGGTGACATGCCTAGCAGCCGTGATATTGAACGAGCTGAACGTAATGGAAGATTTCGATCACGTAGAAGAGGTAGTACCAGCAGTGATATAAATCGACATAGTTTTGAAGCACCTGACAAAAAGCATAGGAGGCATGGAAAAAGCAAAAGTTCTGGAAAGAAGAAAAAAAAGAGATCAAGAGATAAGTCTATAGAAAATGTTCCAACTGTAGCTTCTTCCATTGTTAAACCTTTGGTTGAGTACTCAGATGTGAGTAGTGAAGATTTATCTGAACCAGAAGCTGGAGAAATTCAGTCAGAAGATAGTAGGGGTAATAGCTATACAGATGGAGAAGTACCTGAACCAGTTTTACAGAGACGTTATTATGGTGGGAGTCCAGTGCGTGCTCTTGGAGCATCTCCTATTAGTCTTTCACCATCTCCACCTGCTCAGCATAGGCATTCTAATAGACACTATTCACCAAATGAACAGCAACCTTCAGCAATGCAAACACCTGAATATGAAGAAGAATCTAGAAGATATGCAAGAAGAAAAGAGAAAAAACACAAACGAGAGAAGAAAAAGAAAAGAAGTCTCAGTCCTTCATCTAGTTCGGGAAAAAAGAAAAAACGAAAGTCCAAAAGACATTCTCACAGTTTAAGTCCACATCGTATTGCAGATGAAATTATTATAAGTCCAGAACATGAAAAACCAGTTGGAAATTGGTCAGAGTCACCACCTTTGCCGTTGAAAGACAGCACGTCGCCAATATCGCCTGCAACACCACAAGAACAAAGATGTTTGAGTGATGTAGAACTTGAAATAACAAGGCAACCTCGAAATGTAACTCCTCCACTACTTCCTCCCAGACCAACAGAATCTCCGCATACCCCTTTGTTACCCCCAAGAACGACAACGCCAGAGAGTAATAAAGCAAGCTTATCTACAATGAAACATACACCTGAAAGACAGAAGCATAGTCCTAGTATTCATACTCGACGTAGTAGCGTTAGCCCAGGACCCACTATTAGCTCAAGTCGTAGGAGACCTCATAGTCCAAGTCCACCATCAAGACGAAGGGACCATAGCCCAACAAGAAGAAGAGACTTTAGTCCAAGTCCAATGGTGCATAGACTTAGGCATAGTCCTAGTCCTTCCACAAGAAGAAGAGAATTTAGTCCGAGTCCTGTAAGTCATCGACGTAGAGATCCTGTTAGTTCACCATCGTCGAGCAAACGTAGAAGAAGAGACGAATCTGAACGTCGACACAGACATCATGAAAAAGACAGAAGAGATAAAAGGAAATCAAGATCGACCAGAAGTCCTACTGGAAGCAGGTATTGTATATTATACATTACAATGAATAAAAATCATTTATCCTTTCATAATAAAATGTATTGTACTTTTAGACTGCATTTACCTCTTTCTCGTTCACGATCGCGAAGTCCTGGAAGATGGCGGAAATTACAATCACGCTCAAGGTCACGTTCACGAAGAAGAAGTCGTACTCCGAAAAAATCTCGTTCTCCTAGCAAGTCCCACAAATCCACAAGGAAACACAAATCAAAGAGTCCTCGTCCTTCGAGAATACCTTCGCCATCTCCTCATAGATCCAGAGCAAGAAGTCCGTCAAGTATAACGGCAAGAAATCTTAGAGTACAGGCAAAGATTAGTGAAACTAGTTTATTTGCTGAACTCGTAAAGGATAGGAATATGAGGGAATTAGCATATAAGAAGTTGCAAGCAGCTAAAGAAAAAGCGGTTAACCAAGATGAAGTTCAAATTATAGAAGGTACTGACGAAAAAGACGGCAGCAATGCATCTTCAGAAAATAAAGCTTCCACTGACAATAAGGAGAAATACTTAAATCACAAGGAACAATTGAAGACGACAAACGAAAGTATAAAGCCTGTTGATCTTGTGGATATTCCTGTTCCAATGTCAGATGATAGTGGAATCGCGGGGAAAACACCACCATTACCAATGGCACAAACTGTCAATGCACCGAATGTAATATCTGGTGCTATTCAGCATTCTTCAACGATTGTATATACTTCACCTACAACAACTACATCTAGTAGTTGTCCAGTGACTCTTACAAGCAGTCCAAATTTCCCAACCGTTGCAAATGTACAAGCGCCCCCATTGCCACAATCTGAACCTGCAAATACGATAGGTTTACCACAAGTATCCATGCCAGTGCCTATTCCTGTACCAGTACCTGTTCTCCCTAACTTATCTGTTCCACCTCCACCTATACCTATACCAGTTCCAGCGCCAAACACGGCTATGTCTAAATTTAATCCTCCTAATAATTTAGTTCCTCTTAAGTCTGTAGATCCTCCTAAACCACCTATCGTGGCATTCAAAACTAAAAGTTTATCAAGATTGCCATTGCCACCTGGAATTAATCAAAATGATTTAGAAAGTATAGACTCTCCGCCGAGTCGGTCTCCAAGTCCACCTAGTAAGGCACAAATGAAATTCCCAGCGTCAGCTCCGAAACCACCTCAAAAGAAGAGTATTAAAGACTTACCTATGCCACCGGGTAAGTTTGTAGTATGTTAACATACACGATTTCAATGTTATCAAAATAATATATTTCTTATCATTATTTTATATGTAGTTGTTCCTGGATCAGAAGATCTAAGTGGAGAAGATGATCCAAATGCAACACCGCCACGTACAAAAGTGGAGCGTGTTCCACCAAAACCGAAATTAAAAAGACCAAAAATTTTGAAGCGTAGAAGTTCCAGAAATTGTCACACTCCTATGTCGGTTTCAAGTGGCAAAGATTGGGGAGAGCGATCTGTTGATGTGTTTGAAGTCATAGCTCAAATAGGAGAGGGTACTTATGGACAAGTTTACAAAGCGCAGGATAAGCGAGCTGGCGTACTTGTTGCATTGAAGAAAGTTCGTCTGGAAAACGAGAAAGAGGGATTCCCTATTACAGCTGTACGCGAAATAAAAATTTTACGGCAACTTAATCACAAAAATATTGTCAATTTACGAGAAATAGTCACGGACAAACAAGATGCTCTGGACTTCAGGAAGGTATTGCACTGAATTATGTAACATTACAAAAATAAATTAAGTAAGAATGATATTGATATAACATCTTTTTATAGGACAAGGGTTCATTCTATCTTGTATTTGAATATATGGATCACGATTTGATGGGTCTCTTAGAATCTGGGATGGTCGATTTTAATGAAATGAATAATGCAAGCATTATGAAACAGTTATTAGATGGATTAAATTACTGCCACAGTAAAAACTTTTTACACAGAGACATAAAATGTTCTAATATATTGATGAATAACAAGTATGTAAAATATATTAGAAAGAAAAGTTGTTTTCTATTTCTACAACTTGATTATATCATTTTCATAGGGGGGAAGTCAAACTAGCCGACTTTGGACTTGCAAGACTTTACAATGCTGAAGATAGACAACGTCCCTATACGAACAAAGTAATTACTTTGTGGTATAGACCACCTGAATTATTGTTGGGTGAAGAACGTTATGGGCCTGCAATAGATGTGTGGAGTTGTGGTTGTATTCTAGGAGAACTATTTTCTAAGAAACCGCTATTTCAGGTAAGGGAATGGTAATAAATTGTGATTCTATTAAAAAAAGATTGGTAAATAAACAAGGTAAAAAATAATAATTACGTTATTCCTTTTATTAGGCAAATGTAGAAATGATGCAGTTGGAGATGATTTCCAGAGTCTGTGGTACACCGACTCCTGCCGTTTGGCCTTCTGTGATAAAATTGCCATTATGGCATACACTAAAACCAAAAAAGTCACATAGAAGACGTTTGCGAGAAGATTTTTCGTTCATGCCAGCACCAGCTTTGGATCTCTTAGACAAAATGTTGGAATTAGATCCAGAAAAGCGAATAACGGCTGCTGATGCACTTAAAAGTGCTTGGCTGAAAAATGTTCAACCTGAGCAGTATGTTTTCTTCTTGTATTCCAATATACTTACAGAAGTATTGATATTTAGGATAATCGGTTATCGTAAAAAGACAATAATGATGCTTTGCAGATGTAGTATTCATGTTGGAATATAATTGAAAGAACGTTAAAACTGCAGGGATTATTTTTTTCGTAGTTGTTTTGTTCAATATCTTCAGCTGTTGCCTATTTATAAAATCTGTATTTCTTACGTAAAAAATTAGGATGCCAGCACCTCAGCTTCCTACTTGGCAAGACTGTCATGAGCTCTGGAGTAAAAAACGAAGACGTCAGTTACGAGAGCAGCAAGAAAGCTCTGCTGGAAAGATGCCTCTTCTTCCTCTTCCAAATAAAGGAGGTCCCCATAAGGCTATTGAAGATCTATCTGATGTCGGGGGGTGAGTAGCCGTAGAGAGACATATTCGCACAAACTGGGACGCGATCCAGTACTGACCAGATACTAATTGCTTACACACGTAGATGGCTGTGTACTGCAGTTGTGCTTGGCATTTATTTTCTTAGCAAAATGCGTTGTTAGAGATATTATTTAAAGAATGAAAACATAACTGTTGTAGTATCTTATTTTCATCGTCCGTTTGCATGCGACTTTCAATAATGGATAAAATAAGTTAATTTTAGTTTGATTCACAGTCGTTCAAACACGACGATGGCTATAGTGCAGAACAATGGAATATAGAGACACGAAAATGTACAACAACGTTCTCTTTTCATGGGTTTGCTACAGAGATTACGTTCTGATACTTCGCTTTTAAATACACCAAACTTTTCGAACGCATGTATTTAAAAAAAAAGAAAAAAAATACAAAATTTACGGCGATATGTTTTTCACGACAAAATATGTTATACTATTTAACTTTTTTATGTGACTGCATCTTCAAGTACCAGTAATAATACATATACGTCAATGACTGGGTGAAATAATATTAATTATCATAATACTATATTAGTATCTTTCTTTCCAAGCGATATCATATACTATTTAGTTTGAAGGATATACGCATTTATGTAAAAGAAATTTTGAAAACCGTTTATAATCCAATTTAATTGGTTGCCTTGGAAAGTAATCATATGAGCTTGAAAATTATGAAATATTTTCCACGTCTGATAATATTACGACCAATAAGTAGATAAATGTGTACATATTTGCTAATCTATGGATATGTGAACATACATATGCATACATTACGACGTATTTGTGTATGTAAAAAAGAATGCACATATGTACAATTTTATGTTGAAATTTAATATATGCATTTACATAATTTATGTGTATATGCATATAATTAATAATATCCACAATTGTATTAGTGGTATATATGTATGAAACATTCACCTTCAAATGATGAACTGTTAGAAAAAACAAGGAAAAAAATAGTAGGTGTATGATTGTAAATAAAAAAAGGACTAGAGTTACTGGAATATCATATGTTAACTTTCATATTAAACTATTAGATTCAAATATTTACAAACGCGTGAAAGGATAGATCAAATGAATGAGAAATTAATGTGAGCAAGTAGATAATTTTTATAATATTTAAAGTCTTGGAGTGTAAATAGGTCAAATGGATACTAAGAAGAAGCTGTCGGAAGATTGAAGACAATGGAATACAAGGAGCCAAGACTAAAATGTGAATGTATTACGCGAAATATTAACATCACGGCCATCCCTATCAACATTTCATTTTATTTACGTTAATTCAGTTTATTTAAACATTCACATTTATAGATTAGGCATATTTTAATTGATCATACTTCCGCAACTGTGTTATAGTTCGTTATTCTGTATTGTAGATAGTTATCGTAAGTTTCAATATACGAATGGCAATTTTTGATATTTGTTGAATATTTTCATGTTTTTGCATGTATTTTGTGTCAATGCCATTCTTATAATGAAATTCGGGATTTAGACAAACCTAATGTATTATCGTCACAATGTAAAATAATATCGAACTACTGTAATATAAAATATTTACTAAATGTCCAGAGGCATTTGCCTAACATTTTTATGGACAATGAATTTCCAATGTTATTAAAATATTTTATTGTTTAATTTGTTTAGCCCCTTTCAATGTTTCTATATTTTAATTTATAAACTAAGTAACCATAATCCTTTAAAAAAATCGTATCTGACGATGAACACTGGGACCTTGGGAATGAATTGAAATACCAGTGTACATGATTATGTACTCTTTAAAAACGATTGCAAAGTTCATGTTATTTTTCTACTTATTCCACAATAAGTTCGAATGAATATTTAATACATGTGTTATTTTTATGTAGAATGTATCAAAATAAATAACATATTAATATTATGAAGACATTATTTCACATATAGTGAAATAAAATAGATATAAGCGTTTCACTTCTTTGTGAATATTAAACAGCATTAAGTGATAACAGGATGATTAAAAGGTTCATGCAGTTCATTTTTAATAAAGAATAATTTCATTATGAATTACATGATCATCATCATCCTATGTTCCATTTTTAAGAGCGATTTTCAAAAAACTTGAAAATACATTAAAGAATATAAATTCCTCTACAAAAAATTACATTTCAACACAATTGAAAAAATGATGAACTTGTATAACTATTAATATGTGCTACTTCTAAATATTATACAATAAAAATTTTATATTTCACTACAAACAACTTTAATTTTGATGAGTATTTCACAAATAGTTACACTAGACAAAAAATTAATTTGTTATACATCACGATATAAAGCAATGTATAAAACAACTTTGGTATTGACGACTATGAAGTAAATATATTTTCCATTTTTAATTTCTTTTGTAAAAAAAAAAAAAAAATGATAAAAAACGTATGTTTGTAGTCATTAGTTTTACTTATGTTAAATTGGTATTTGAAATGTGTATTGACATTAAATAATATGTGTAATTATTTTACATATTAGTATTCGATAATTGATATAGTTACAGGTCTTAGTGAAAAGTTTTTGAAACATTTCATGGTACTAAATAAACTTTTCATATGTCATAATTTATGTAGCACATATTAAAAAAATTTGCTATAAAGATCTCTCAGTTGTATAATAAAATTCAGCTTTTTGAATATTCACTATTTTTTATTATATGTGCATATATATAATTATTATGTAACTAATGAAATGAGAATGTTATAAGTATGTTAAATAGGGAAAATGCTTGTATACAGAATACATTTATATATTATAAGCATACAAGTATTTTGGTACATAACCATTTACTTTTCTATATAATTTTATGTAGATACCATACATTTGGTTATGTATACATTATCTCTACTATACATATCATAATGCTGTATATAGTAGACATTATGCATTACTATATTTATATATATGTATATAACACACACACACATACAGACACACACACACACACACACACATATTGTGGAATTTGTAGGAAACAACATAACATTTCAAATATGAAATGACAATAATTGTAAGTGAATGCAAATTGGCAAAATATCTAATGAGAAACACAATTATGTTTCAGGAAGTAATGTTATTGTGGCTGAATGATAAAGGGCAAATTTTATAGCACTTATAAGAATATAAATAGGTAATAAATGTTCCAAATCTGTATAATATATGTTTATACCCAGGGTGTCCAGTTTAATAATTCACATAAGACTTGGTTTTGTGTATCATATAACAAATTCACGTGCGCTTGGGCTTTACAACTAAAATAAAAAGCTTGATTGTTTTATGCAGAAAAGTTGAGGATGCAATGAATTCAACAATCACATTGTGGTCTTAATATTTTCGATCCCTTACAAAATTGTTTTGTCATATCTCTTCACTTATAAAGGTATAAGTGATAAGTATGCAATAAATTGTGAAAAATAAAATTTACAGAATATAAATAAAGTTTGATACGCTGTGCCTATTAAATTGCATGTATATCCATATAAAATATTGATTTAATTAGCCTTGCTTTTACAATATGCACGATTACAAAACATATCTTTTGCATGATTTCTATCAATTATCAAATTAGTATTATTATTGGGTATCCATGTGCTATGATATGTTTTAATAATATTTATATGAAGTTTTCTTTAACATTGTTTTATTAGTATCATTTTTATTATCCTAAATATACTAATGTTATTAATATGTTCTCAAGTTTAAAAAATATTCACCCCCTTTTTAACACAGTACAAGTCACTACAGAAGTCAGTTTACAAGTTTATAGCACTAAACATTTGCATTGAAACATGTAACCTTTGTCATTATATATTATATAAATCTGTTTTGTACAACATTTTTATAAATAATTATCTATATAGAAACATTCAGTTCATTCTTGTAGTCTTTATAAAAAACTTTTGACTTGATTTCAGGTCTTCCAAACGTTTAAAAATGGAAGCAGGTTACAATTCTCACCCAAATCGTCTTGGTACGGATTCCCATTATGGGGGAGATAACTTGTTCAACCAAAGTAGACCTTATATGGTCTCATCACCATCATATTATTACACTAGTCCTCCACCTGTTACACCACGGCCCAAGGGAGATGCTAGCAGACCTTATATGGTCTCATCACCATCATATTTTTATGTTAGTCCACCACCTATTACACCAAGGCCCAAAGGAGATACTAGCTCTCATATGACGGAATTATGCGCAGAAGATAGTCTTGCCCGAAAATTAAGTATTCTAACAAACGCATTAAATCAGGGAAAACCAATTCGTGTTGAAGATCTTATGTCACTTCGATCAGATAATGAGGTGCTTATTTTCAGATTTTTATTTCAGATGTTCTACTTTTATAATCTTTTATGATTAATAATATTATAACTAAAGCATGATTGTCATAATTCAAATTACAGAGTGACCCAAAAGTAGTACAGTTGTTAGGAGAATTGCATGCTGAACTTCGACTTGCTGCAAATTCAAGACCAAGTGGACTGTTAGATTCTCACCTTTCTGTACTGAATCCACCACATTTAGGTGAGTCTTAATGCATTTATTTTTTACCTATCTTCACGATGTATTATTTTTTTACAATTTGTTTTTGTAGATACAAATGCAGCTCAGTCAGGAAATTTTGATGCACATGCAATTTATGCTGGTGATGATGCAATGAGTTCTGGAAGATGGTCACAAGTGGCTACAGCAGGTGTTCGCAGTGCATTATTAGCGCTTATGTCGCGCTATGGTTTGGAAACTTGCAATCCTTCCCCTGTTATCACCCGACCCCCAGGTAAACCAACATCCAACCTGACACAGAACCTTTTCCTGCCCTCAACTTCCTCTCAGTCAGCATTCAGCTCATAATGATTTGTACATATAACTCTTTACAGCATTCTAAGCTGTTCTGTATAAAGTTGGAAAAGGTCTAAATTGCTATTTTTTAAATTAACTAGGCATGGAAGTACAACTGCATCCAAGTTGTTTATAGACTCTACTATCTGTTCATAACTGTAAGTGCACATTCGGTGTATACTTGTATATAATTGGTGTATTAATACGTGACCAGTTACTTAATACAGTACTTGTATCTTTAATAATATCAACATGCTCTTTATAGTGCACATTTATGCGGTATATGAAATAAGAGCTTTAAAGTCTCAACGTTCTCTTTTTTGTTTCTTAAAATGTAGATTTACTTTTAGTATTGAGAATATCTAATATTTATGTGCATACATGAAAATACATGTATATTGTATGCATATTTAAAAAATTTCAACAAAATGTTTGGTCTACATAGATACTTTTATCTTTTTTAAAAGAATAATTTCTTTTTAAAGTATTAAGTGTTATTATATACAGTCTTATGTTAGGCGATATAATTTGTTATAATGGACAAATTCATAGAAAAAGAAAGGAGAATGAAGGTATTTGAAAGAAAACTTAAATCAGATACATTCTAAATGTTTATTTGTTGCATAAGATTTTTTTTTATATACGATGTTAAATGCTTATTTATTATGGAAATATTTACAGGATGTAATGTACATAACAATATCGAGATATAATAAAGAGATAAAAGTACACGAATATAGTAGGATTTTTTTAGGACAAAGAAAGAACTAGTTTACTTATATTTCGATAAAAATTCATATTTGGAAAATTACGACATTATGAATAAGTAATTTCTATTTGGTTAGATACTTACAAAATTATGTCAAATGTTCTAAATGAAGAAAACTGAAATAAAAACCTTTAAAACAATAATTTTCGAACGTAATAAAAATAGGATAGGATAAAAATTAACACAACTTTCACGAACGTTTCAGATTGAAGTGATATTCCAAGAGAACACGTACACTACGAAAATGAGGTTAGGATGTGTGCTTCTATACCGGCAAGCTGTATACAATGTGTGACAATATCATGGCGATTTGTGCTGCGGTATGAAAGAAATTGGCGACACGCTGTAGATTATTCAGTGAAGTGATCAACAATGCGACGTTGTGGGAATGAATAATAAATTGTTTGTTTTCTTGAGTTTATTCGATTCTATATTCGGTGTGATAATAATATACATAATAAAACACGCAACAAATTAACGACAAGTGAAAAAAAGGACAGGATATTGAGTTGTTCGAAAAAACAAATACCTAACCTCATTCGTTTTACTGATGGCTTTGTTAGATGTTTTACGATTTGATTGTTCCATAGACAATGATATCGCGCGTAATGCTATGGGAGATTTTGGTGAAATGCTTGGAAAAGTATTCGAACAATATAAAAGTAAGTATATATCATATGTTGTTTCTATATTAACAAGTGTGCTTTGATTTGTTCCTTCCTTTATCACTACAATGAATTGCAATTTTGAATTCAAAATGACTCATAGTTTTTTTTCGCGTTATCATAATAATATATTTTATTTATTTTCTGCCGTTACTATGATTTAGAAATACGAAATTTTGTAAGACATAAGTCTACTTAATATACTAAGGAAATTGTGTACAATTGGAAGATAATTCACAATGCTTTGTTGTTTTGTATTATAAATATAACTTTTAGTTAAATTTATATATAAACTATTTGATTCAAACAGTAGGTTATTTTTATATTTACAGAATTATGGAATGAATATTTAACATTACGAAAACATTGTGAAGATGCTGATTTTAAGATACCATTTCAATTATTTGAAACAGATAACTATTACAATAAAGATGTGTAAGTTTTGTTTTTATTGTTGACTTAAAATTTTCATAAATTTTGTTTCTTATATTTATGAATATTGTGTAATGTATTTAAATATTATTATGATTATATTGCTTATTGTTTAATTTTATATATTTCAGTATTACACCTGATATAAGTCAGGTGTCATCTGATATTACAAAGTTGTCTACATCTACATGTAAAAGTATTCCTACTAGCAGTAGTTTAGATATTTCTGGGGATTTAAATAATATTGTTTTAAATGATAATAAATTTATTAAAAACCATACAGAAAAAGATGAGTTGCTTAAAAGTCCAATACTTCTAAAGAGACCTACATCTAAGACTATCATTAACACATCATCTTACAAAAGGACCAATATTACAGATACTACACCATGTAAAAAATACAAAAGATCAAGTCCTTTAAGATTATATGTATCACCTACACCTGAAAAAAGTATAAAAGAAAGGTCAAAAAATCAAAATAAATTCATAGAAGAAGAAATAATTCAAGGTAGCCCTAGTAAAAGTATGAAATCAAAATTGAAAATAACAAATTTAAAACTAAAAAGAAAAACTCCTGTAAAATTGACTAAAAAAGATGGTGGAAGAGAAAGAGATGAGTTTAATAGATTAATTGATAAAAGTAATGCTTTTAAATTACCTCTGAGAGAAACAAAACAATCTAGTCTCAGTCAGTATTTGTTACCTGTATGTACACCTACAAAGAAAGATAAACTATTTTCAATTAAAAAGTCAGAAACATTTGGTTCTAGGAATGAAACTGCTGGAGATGATTGTGATATTTTAAGTTCTCCTTTTTCTCCATCACTTGTGGATAACCAATACTTATGTTTTGAAAAAGATTTACCAAGTCCAACAAGAAAAACTGAAAAGATAGAAATTACAAAAAATATTAATCTAACAGAAGAAAAACAAAATTTAGAATCAAACAGTAAAATGTTCAATATGAATTCTTCAATGTACAATGATGATACATTCTGTTTTTTAGGAGAAAAATTGAAGGAAAAGTCTACTTGTGATATAAATAAATTAAAAGATGTTAAAGAAAATATATCTGAAAACAATTTATTATCAGAATTTGCTTTAGTAAAGAAGAATCTTATGAATAGCTTTGATATGTAAGTATTTACATAAACATGAAAGTATTTATAAAATGTTTATATAACTATTAAAAATTTTTAAGGCCACCTGAGGAAAAGAATCTATATATTGATAAACCATCAAAGAAAAAATCAGAAAGAGCAAGGATGACTGGTGTTACTTGTTGGTCATGTAAGAAGGTATTGTTCAATTTAAGTCTTTACTACAAGAAAAATAATGTAAATTATTGGTTTAAATAATATTAAATACAATTTCCTTTTTATTAATACTGCATACAGATGTTGAATTGTAAGTTAATGTTGTTACATATTATTGAATACTCAACGTTTATAAATTATTGTATATATATTAGTAATTTCAATGATACTATTTTAAAAATTTTACTTTTAGTATTATGCTAATCTTGGACTTTCTGAAGAAGAAATACAAGCAAGACAAAATCAGTGCTCCCGACATAAAGCTAAACAAAATGAAAGGGAAGGTTCACCTGAAGGTAATTTTACTAATATCACTTTGTATTTGGAAAAATAACGCTATAGTGTTATCAATATTAACATTTTTCAGGGTTTTGGGATCATCTATTTCCTGATACATGTGCATCTACTTTGCTAGAGTAGTAGGGTGAAGCATGTAGACATGCATTTTAATTATAATTATTGTTATCTTATAAGTAATCCTTAAGTACAAATATTTATATTCTTATTTTATCATTTTAGTTAGCACTAAATGATATTATACGCTAAAAGTACAAATATATAACTGTTTCTAAATATGTAAAGTTTATAATTTATAAAAGAATAAATTATGATAAATAACAACACATAGTGTATATTATGATTTGAACATAGAGTGATTTATTATATCATAACACATATAGTATTACATTTTGAGTAACATAGTATAGATTTATATATTATTTAATTTTATATAGACTCATTCCTTTGCATAAAAATATAGTATCTTTTATATGAATCTGTGCTAAAAAAGACTAATAAAACTTATTTTTTGGTCAAGCAAACTTTCACGTTGATTTCACAGTATATCACTTGTATTAATTCAACATAAAATGTAAACCATTATAACTAATATTTTTAACTTTTACAAACTGAAGGGTGTAGAATGTAGGATATTCAGAAATGGAAGCAGCATTTGAAAACGAAAATACTTGGTGTTGTCTATCATTTGTTTTTAAATCTTTCATCATTTTTTAAGTTTCATTTATTATTTGCAGTACTTGATGAATGTATGACTGTTTCATAAACCGTAATTAGTAGGGAGAAGAAATAAGATAGAAATGTAAAATATGAAGAAAAAAAGTTAATGGTCAGTAATCGTACTGCACAATGAAAAGGAAGAAATCTCGAATGGAACCTGTTCATCCTGTAGGAGGCTGGATCTACAGGGCGAGCAGTATCGCAGTTTTAAAGCAAGAACGATATTTCTACTTACAACTCGCCATATCGACACGTCAATTTGTGCAAACATGTATGCTTATACTTTTTTTTATATACCACCTAATATCATTGTCACGATATTAATGATTAAACACTTCATTCATAAAGTGTGATCATAATACACTTTCGCATGATAATTAGAACATTAAGTTTACATTACGTGATCGTATTATAATTCATATTTCACACCGATAAAACATTATTCTTATAATTTTTTTTTCTTTTTAGATAATGACGATATTTAATTATAATGTGAATATTGTGCAGCTCGATTATTTTTTCTCTCTACGCGTAGAAAAAAGACAGGTAAGTAGTGCTTGTTACGTCTTTTTCACATGAAACTTTACATTTAACGCCTAATAAAATTTCATTTCACGGAAGTAACAGTCATAGCCGTCTATTAAAATCCATACTCTTTAGAACATGTAACAATAGTATAAAAATTCTGATTTCAATTTCTAAAATGGTGAATTCGATTCTCGCATTCTTAACTTAAAAATGTTATCCAAGTTCTGTATGTAAAGTCTTTCAATACATCACAAGTAATTAAACATTTTAGAAAGAAACTGATTTAAAAAAGCAGGTATACATATTTCAGTAAAGAAAGAATTAACGATATCTGACATAATAAATGTGAGCATCAACGTTGTGTACACTTGATAGAATTGACTGAACAGATAGAACTATGTTAATTATCCCACAATATATTTTGATATCTTATTTAAAGCTATTGTAAAGCACGTTAGTGGAGTTGTTCATGAGAGAATGCAACACAACTTTAATTTGACTAAAATAGTACATTCATGAAGTAAAATCAACAATAGAATGAACAATATAAAGATTGAGCTATATAATAAGTAGTAAGCATTTCATTTCCATAATAAAATAATATAATTTTGAATCACATTAAAACTTGTTAAAATTGATTTCTACAAAGATTACCTCAAAAGACAATTTTACAAGAATACACAGTACAAATAATTCCGTTATTAGCCGATATTTAGAATTCCATCAGCTGCATAGCTCAGTCTTTCGAATCCATATACTTGTACCTGATTATTTAAGTAGGCCATAGTCAAATGAGATGCATAATAAACATTACAGGTTTCTAGAATGAACTGTTTTCTAGAATAATTATTCAGCAGTTTAATTTATACCTTTATCTTATCACAAAATGAATGAATCAATAAAATCTTTGAAAATCAGAAATATTAAAATTCAATATTTTTTGCAACAAATGCATAGTAAAAGCAAAGCCTGTTGAAAGTTTGTAATAGATTCATGTGACTTCGGGATATGTCCAAAGTACTTAGAAGAAGAAAGTTATAGGAAATAAAAGATTTAATAGCAATTTTACGCTTGTAATACGATTACGGTCGACTAGAAATATTTGGCCATGTTTCTTTGCGTAGACTGCAATTAATACTTTGCCTCTGCTCGCCGCGACTGCAATTCCGAATTTGTGTCAAATCTTACTGGCCTTCCTTCGTCGAAGTACTATTTTCAGGGAGAGGAGATTTTTCTGCGGGGGGTACGGGTAAAGCCTTCAGAACTGCGTGTACTTCTTCCGCGACAGCCGTCAGAACGAATTTAAATTGTTGTTTTGTTGCAACCATATCGGGCCTTTGATCTCTTATATGTTCTAATGTAGCTGCAATGTCAATTTCTTTGGCTCCTTTCATCATACGATTTAGAACCATGTCGATTAAACAGTATGTACCAGTACGGCCAGCACCATCACTGTAAAAGAATTACTTCTATTAAGTAAATAATGCAACACATGAGAACACCAATTATTTTATGAAATAACAACTATAAAAAGCTGTTCTTCCTATAATATCTGAAATATAAATAATATATTAAAGATTACTTTACCTGCAATGCACAACTATAGGGCATGACCTGCCTTTGTAGGACTTATTAATTTTTCTGCAATTAAATTCAAATGTAAGTATTAGAACAACGATATGTTTTATATAATGACAATATAATTATACTAAGTTTAAGAGGAGATAATTACCGGCGGAATTCAAGAAGAGCCTTGATAGATTGTGGCACACCGTTTTCAGGCCAGGACAGGAAGTGGAACTGTGTTACAGTCCTCGTTTCACCGGTACGTTGATTTTTCAAGTAGAAGGAACGCACCAAATAGTCATCACACCAGAAATGCTCGGAGACAAGGTGCACCTCATACATGTGATACAATTCTGATCCTTCCTCAGGCCAATAACGATGACACATACCAACACCTTCTTCGGTGAGTCTAGTTAGCATCACAATTACAACGCTGCCTTGTTCCCAAACAAGTTGCCAAAAATCTGCCGCCGTTTGCGGTAGTGGTCCTTGCGTGGCGATGTAAGCTGGATTCCGTGGATCATGATCCGTCTAAAAAAAGAATTTCTTTCAAAACTGTTGTTTCTATGATCATGATCCTATATTGAGAAGCAAGTCACACGGCTTTTCTGAATACACAGCAAGCATATTTGCTATTTTGCTAATTGTTGTGCAATTCTTGTGCTTCTTTATATTATGCAGGGGTAGTTTGGATGTTGCAATGCAATCAAAATCATTTTTCATTAAGCTTCATGTAATCGAAGCTTTGTTATAGAACTTGAACTACTGTCTAAACTATTCAGTGCACGCTTAGCGTTTATCTTAAATGAAAATCTACCACAAAATGTAGACACGAATTCGCAAGTAATTTCAGCATGCGATAGAAAACGTTCATATAAACATTTTTATTATATTACTTTATTTTCCAATTGCATTTAATAATTTTTACAAAAAACAAGCACAGAAATTGAGGTATTGATGATTAAAGAAACGTTTATATGAACTACCTCGTTGCTTCTTACATACTGAATTCACTTTTGAAATTATGTATACATTTACAATTCCTGGAATCATGCCTCGATTTGCAATCAACGGTTACAATTATCGTGAAAATATCTACGCGGAAGCGTTCTCGAAGGAAGCTTTGCTTTCTCGCTAAATTGCGAACAGAACGTTCGATTCTTCATGCTCGTCGTGTGACTTACCGATTTCTATTTTCAGTTCCATTTTCAAAGATTTTTAAAATGAAAACGACGCACACATTACATATTACTCTGACACTGACGTCTCGAAGAAATCAAGAACAGTTAGTCTAAAGATACTTACGATCGTAGATGCGTTAATATAGTCGGAATGATTGGCATTAGCGAGGTCGTTTAGAATCACCCTTGAATGATCATAGGGAAGGGCTGCGCCAGGACGATTACATGCAGCATTCGCTTCGCTTTCTGCGGTTTCCGTCGAACAAGGATCCACTTCGTACGCGCATAATGCCGCCCATTCTTGATCTAATCGATCTTTATTCTTCAAATGATCCTCCATATAACTCTGAAAGATATATGACTATGTTTCAAACTTGTATTCAATACACTGCCTTCCATAATCATAAAACAATTTTAAACTTCCTATGTCATGTGTTACTGCTGAATTTAAGTATAAGTAAAGTCACAATATAAAAGATTATAATGTTTCCTTTAAGGAGAATGCTGTTTCATGCAATATATAAATACTGCATCGACTCACTAGAACCATTTGCCCTGTTGCTATGTCCATATTCGAAGCAGCTGCTGTTTCCTCTCCCCAAGAGGATGTGCTGGATCGATTCGAGGGTGCATTACTCGTCTCGCTTTCGCGGCTAAGGTTGGTAATTCGCAGTGATTCCGGTTTGTCCGTCGGTTGTTTAGCATGCATTCTTGCTCTGCACAAGGCCTGATAGTCCTTCGAGATTTCTGGATCAGGTGTATTCAATCCTGCCAATTTGGCCCGAGCTTTCGCGTGTCGACGAGCGATTATCAACGTCACTACTGCAGCTGCACCGGCAGCCACCACTCCTGCAGCAATTATCGCTCCAAACATGCTCGAGCTCATCTCGGATTTCTTGTTGACCTCCAGCGTTGCGGGTAGTTTGGTCTTTAAATAAAGAAATATATTAATTTTTCGTTTGTGCAGTAGATATTATACAGTTATTTGAATTTACTGCTCAGAATAAATAAAGGATCGTATGTTTGAAGAATTTTCACTACCAGTACAGCGACGTTTTAATAATTAAGTAATTCTGTAATTATTTTGAACAGTACAGTTGTGTAGGTGTTATATACTAGACGTGTTTCAAGATGAACCTTGTCACCTATGCCTGCACGAATCACCTCGACACCCAGAGTCTCTTTCAATTTTCCACGTATGTCATCTGGAAACGTAACGCAGTGGATTAATTTCACGATACAATATTTGCGTCTACTACTTAGGATATTTGAGCACCTATTTTATCAACGACATCGGTAGCGTTATAACTTTTATTGTTTTTCACCACTTTGAACGTCACCTCCGCCCGACCAACTCGAATATCCTTCAACGATCCAGGTGTTAGTCCCAATAATTTGCCCACCTGAAAATCGAACATTCCTTTTCTCTGCATTTACAAAGAAACATCCGTAGAACTGTGAATTCCATTGATCACCTCTGTGACAACGTGTTCCCCTTCCGACCATGTGTGAAATTGTTGCTGAAACTCCACGTAAACGTGATCCAAATCGACATTGTTGTACGTTTTTGAACCTTCTGTTTGCTGTGCAGGTGCTTCCTTTTTCACGTACGGTGTAAATAGTACGTCATTCTAAACCATGATATTCATAATAATCGTGTTATTTATATTGCCTCTTTTATTTCAACAAATAAGTGGTACTTACATCTTGCCCGTTTTCGATAGAATCAGAACTATTCTCATTTTCCACATCTGCAAAAATATTTAACATTAATACACGTTGAAAATAATTATAAATATAACGTGATATAGGTGAAGATAATTTACTGGATGGGGATGGAGTTTTGAACGCGTAGTTGTTCGTTGAAAACGGAGGTCCTGGTTTCTTCACGTCCAAGCGTTCTCGTCGTTTAAAACCTGCCAATCCTCGCCTCCAGAGAATTTCGCTTAAATCGTCGTCGAATAAAGTGTCGTACGCAGTTTCTAATAATACAGAATCGAGGAAAAATTATTCAAAATTCAACAACAGAAAAAAAGAAACTCAATTAACAAAGAACATCGTAAAATGTACCATCATCAGTGTCAGAGTTAGATTTGTCATTAGTAGCCTGAACTAGACCTCCTTCTGTGTAAATCCCATTCTCTATCGACGAGCTGTCCTCCTGAGGTAATTCATCGTCATTCACGTCATCGTAATCGTCACTGTCATAATCGTTCTTAGAGTTACGTTTCACATTTGCCAGGATAAAAGAATCCTTGTCGGGAAGTTCGAATTTCCTAGGTTTATACTTTCTCGAGAACTCCTTCTCATATTCAACATCGAGATTATCCTCTTCTCCTTTATCCTTCTGGCTATTGGCATAATCGTCGGATTTATCGTTCACCAGGTATTCCAATTCGTCGGCGGTTAGGGTATCTATGTTGTCAACATTTTCATTTTCAGAGTACTTCTTCGATAATTCTTCCTCATTGTCCAAGGCTGTTTTTATCGATTCTATCGCGTCGTCGTAGTCACGAAGATTGTACGGTTGTCGTCTGGTTCGATACAGTCTCTCGTTGATTCCTTCATCATAAGTTGATGATGGTCTCTGACGTGAATTACTTTCGTCGTAGCTCTCTTCGTTCGCCAGTGATTCGTATTCGTTGTAAGTGTTCGGGTTGTACCTTGGCCTGTAGTATTGGGTGTTCGTTTCTCTGGGTTCTTCCTTGTACGGTGTTCGAGAGAACTCGTCGTTGTAGAGAGATTCGCGGAAGTACTGGTTTCTCGTGCCAGGAGGATAGTAGAGTTCGTTCGCGAATTGGCTGTTGAACTTGCTGTTGTTGGGCGTGAATTTCACTATGGCTATTGTTGGTGCCTTGAAAAATCATTTTCCACTATTATACCATAACTATGGAAATTATTCCGTACAATAAAATATCGAGTACATCAAAATACAGTTATAAAGTTATACTTTACATAGAAATAAAAATGCTCATAAACAAATATCTCACAAAAATATCGTTTCAAACTGTAAAACTATATTTTACACTTGGGATAGTTTTATATGCGACAACTAGTATTTTTCGACATAGTCTTGAAGCTTTGCTAAACCTATTTTCAACAATAGAACACTGTAAAGTGACTTCTTAACGTTGTTTCAAAGTTCTCTAGAAACTTTTCCTCTCATTAGACAATACGACATAGTTAACTCACTCTAGCCTGGTCGAGTTCATTTTTGTTTTCGAAACGCGTGCGTTGCTTCAAATGTTGACAGAGTCGAAGATCGTAATTTTCCCTAAAAAGGAAAAAAAGCAATAGAAAGTTAATTGTACAATTACAAATGTCCAAAATTCTATCCATAAAGATTGTGTACCCGTGGCGTAAATTGTACAAGGAGGTTTGCATGATACATTGTGTATAGGGATGAGACCATTTGTATCCATCGATTTGCAGTCTCTCCAGTTGCAGTCTTAGTAGCTCCAGTTCGTCGACGTTGAAGTTGTATCTAAAGTGGAAGGATTACGAATGTTGAATTCAATTAAACAACTTTGTGGACGAAGCTCGTGAACACGGTATATCAACTGTCTTGGCATTAAGAAGCGGAAGTTAACTCTCTTTATCCTTGTAAAGTGAAACTGAAGTAGTACGGTCAGTTTATGGTCGGACGGTAAAAGGGAAACTGTTTCTGCCGTAAAGGATAGAGCACCAATTATGATCCTCTTCTATCGCGGCGGAGAACTTCGTTTAAAGTTACTAATTAATTCATAAATAAATTCTTTTTATTATTTTACGTTATTTTTATATCGGTCGTAAAAACACTTGGTTCTTTCCATAGGAATTTATCAGTAATTCCACTTTCGATAAATTCGAATACCGAGAGTGTAATTAATTGAGAAATATCGCGGTGATTTTTTTATCGAATGGAAAGAAAATACAATTTCTTTTTTTTTTTTTTTGTATAAATTGCAAAAATAATATGCGGAAAAATCAATCATTCTGCTTGATAACAGTTCACTCACCTCTCGCATAAATATTCACCGGAATTTATTAATACTCACTTATAATATTCCCCGTCGTTCAGATCGGTGTACAATGGTAAACATCTGCCAAACGCCAGATCTGAAATATGAAAACGTTGGAATTAATTTTACCTTTGTTACACGTATCAAGAGACGCGCCGATTTCGAAACGAACAATTTCGATTGATAATTACCATTGTAACACGTTTCCGTGCGAGGATCGCAGAGGCTCTTGCTGAAGAGGCAGCCTAAAGTGCAATAGAATTAAACGTATCAATGATACATCGGTGAACAAGTCACTTTTCAACATTTCGTTTGATTAATATTTCACCAGTTAATCCTTTGACTGCTGCCAACTCGAAAGTGAAGCACTGTGAATTACAGCATTAATGGTCACACTTTTTGTATTTTACAATATTAAATTAAATTAAATTTTGTGTTAATATTTAAAATACAATATTGTTAAATATAGTGATAATATTTTACAATATTATATTTATTATATTTTAAATATTAAAACAAAATATAAATTTATATTTGTAAAATAAATAATACATAAATATGAAATACAGAATATAAATACGAAGAGAGCTTATAGCAGACAAAGGATTAAACGCTGAACTTCATTTAAAAGAAAAATTTAATACTAAAAATTTTGTAAATTATCAAATTCGCTTAAAAATCATCTGCAACATTTTCATATCGTGCACAATCGGTATGTCTTCATTTTCCACTAAATCAAATCCACGCTGGTGTATCAGTAGAAAGAGGATAATGTTAAACTTGGACAGTTTCAAATTTTCAAGTGAATTAACCCCGCGTCAATTAATCAATTATCGAATCACGAGCAGGAAAACAGAGGAAAATGTTAAGTTATTATTTTTGCTCGTAACAGATTGACGCAAACTCCCACGTCATAATCGTGTGTGTGTGTGTGTGTTTGCGTGCGTGTGTGTTCGATTCGCCGGTGCACATTCTACAGTTGGAGAATACGCGCGATGCGCTCGCTAATTAGAATACCCGAGCTACTTCCCACTTTCATTTCGCGGCTGCACCGTCACTTAATCCTCAATAGGGGTTGAATAATCAAACGGTGACTTTGTTTGCCCGCGTACCGCATCGAACGTTAATACGTATGCACGTATCTTGTTCACTAGGAAATCTCTACACCTTTTACCTACGCTCACTTGCTCGATATATTTATATATATGTACCGGGTGTAGAGATAACAAAAGCCTTTAATTTTGTGAAAATTTGGATAAGTTAAATTTAAATGTAATGAAAAATTTATAATACTATATAGCTGAAGGTTTCGGGACCGTTCACATGGTGACAAATAAACTGGGGATTTTTGTGCATATATGGTAAATTTGAAGTTTTAAACGCGCCATCTAGTATATTCTCATTAGTGTGCGAAATATCATTTACTTAACGCTGCACAGCGTACACACGCGTAACAGTTCCCAGAAGCTTTCGAATATTTCTCGGATTGGGAAAGGAGTTAAAATTTCCTGCGTTGATAAAATCTCATTAACTTCTCGAATACTGGAACAGACGGATGGCGTTTCATTTCCCTTGACCTTCGCGCCACGGAATCAAGCTTCTATGAAAATGTCACCGCGTTAACTATTTTAACGCAGCGCTGTTCTGCTACGTTCTCTACGTTTCGCAAATATTTCACCATTACGGATTTAATCACGGAATCGTTGGAATTCCTATCATCGATTGTGCTTCTAAAAACGAATCACTTCCTATTATGGTGTCAAAGGGTATCCGATTTTATTTATAAAACGTGTCTACTTTTATTAACGACACGCAGTATCAATGGAGAACTCTTTTTTTTTTATCGAAACGTTGTTTACACGAATAACAATTGATACTTTTTCAATTAGGTTTTTCTTTGTAACATCGAAATTGAATGGCGGAAATTTTATTTCATTGTTGGCTGTATTAACACGTTTCCAGCCACGTGCACCGGAAATAAAACTTCTTTTTATCTGGTCAAATGGGAAAGATGAGTTAATTCATCGTTGGTTAGATAATACTTTGAAAGACAATAATTTATTTATCGAGGGATTGTTCGTTCTTTTGATTGTACTGTTTTATGTTGGTATTACGATTGTTAGTTATTTTTAATTAGAAATTAGTGAGATTGAATTTCTAGTTCTGTTAACAAGTTAAATGAAAAAAGTTGTACTCTTCGACTCGATTCACATACAAAATATGTTGCAGAGTGGAATTAGAGTGTCAAGAATTCAAGCCATATCGATATTTTTCTGTAATTACATATTTTAACGTGACTTTTTCAAACTTCGTTTCGAACGCACCGGTCAAACTTTTAATTTTCCCGCGTCACGGAAAGTGATTATAAAGTAACGGAGACCTGTTTTATAATAAAGTGAACATTCGTGGTTCGTCGTGTTTTGATTATTATGCTCGTTAGTGGGAAAAATTTGTTTAATCTGCGTAGGTAATTAAAATTTATTTAACGAACTGACCAAAAATTGTAACAATATGTAATAAATTTTTGTTATGATCTGTTTCCATGAATCGTGTCGATAAATTTCTAAAAAAAAAAGTGAAATAACTGTGATTTCATAGAATTGCAAAAAAATGTTGAATTCAACGACGATCAATACTGGACAACTAGAACCGTGCAATAGATCGAAAATTTCATTGAAAGTCTTTCAAAGAACCATCGAAGCAGTCAATGTGCAACTACGTGTCAATTCATAGCTGTTCGATCAAAGGGCTTTGTCGTTACTTATTATTCTTCTCCACTTTTGCATTTCATATTGGTTATTATTTCTTTAGTATCATACTGTGTTAAACTCGTTAGTGAATAATAGTCAATTAAAACAGTTATTAATTTGACAATAATATTTAATAACAATAAATGTTATCCCAGCAGTTTGCAATAAATTCACTTGAAATTATTTTACGGAAAATTTTTAAAGCTTAGAAAGAATTTCCATGAAAAAGAATTCCTAATTTTTGTAATTAATAACTAATTGCTGAATAATAAATATTATTCCAGCAGTTTGCAATATATTATTTTACGGAGAATTTTTTAAACCTCAAAAACAATTTCCATGAAACAAAAAAAAAATTCCCAATTTTCTATACACACATATTATTTTCATAAAACATTGTAAACAACCTTAACTAATAAAACAAAACACTCCTATTAAATTCCTCTACATAACCCAGTCTTTAAATAAATAAAATTACCAAGCAGTCTAAGAAACTACACTTCCACAATAACTTCCTAGATACAGGTGTCTATAGTTAACGATAAAACAAAATGAAGCCTCCTAAAGACTCATTACCAACAACCACTCAAACTAAAATCACAAAATTACCAAATAGAGCAAACACTAAAAAAAGAAAAAAAAGCAGTATGACCAACTTAGGAAAAGTAAGATTT